AACTCTAGGGTAGGCTTTGCGTACCAAATTGTTCAGAACTGAGGAAACGTGTCATGACTGAAGCGCACAATTCCAAATTTGTTATGCATCCGAGAAACACAAAATTGTACAAAGATTAGAAACAGAATTTCTGGTGGCCTGGCATGAAGAAGTGTGTTGCTGACTTTGCAGCTAGATGTTTGCATTGTCAACAAGTGAAAGCCGAACATCAACGGCCCACTAGATTACTGCAACCGTTTCCAATACCGAAATGGAAATAGGAGCACATTGCGATAGACTTTATTGTTGGCTTGCCTCACTGACCAAGGTATGGATTCTATTTGGGTCATTGTTGATCGATTAACTAAATCTGCTTACTTTTTGCTTGTGAAGACTCTTTATAATGTAGACAAATTAGCTAACATTTATATAAATGAGATTTGTGATATTATACGGTGTGCCAGTATCTATTGTATCTGACAGAGATCCCAAGTTCACTTCAAGATTCTAGTAGAGTTTGCAACAAGTTTTGGGAACTGAGTTGAGACTGAGCAGTGCTTATCACCCACAAACAGATGGCCAATCTGAACGGACCATTCAAACTTTGGAAGATATGTTGAGAATGTGTGTATTGGATTTCCAAGCGAATTGGGAAGCTTATTTGCCTGTGGCCAAGTTTGTGTATAACAACAGTCATCACTCGAGTATTGAAATGGCTCCTCTTATAAAGCTTTATATGGTAGGAAGTGATGGTCTCCAATTTGTTAGGTTGAAGTCGGCGATAGACCATTGTTGGGACTAGAACTTGTACAAGAAATAACTAAGAAAGTGAAACTGATTCAACAATGTTTGAAAACCGCCCAAAGTCATCAAAAGAGTTATGCAGATATCCGGAGGAAAGAGAGGAAATATGAAGTCTGTGATCATGTGTTTATAAAAGTAACTCCAATTAAAGAACAAACTCGATTTGGGGTTTAAGGCAAACTAGTATCGCGGTACATTGGCCCGTATGAAATTATTGAGAAAATCAACCCTGTGACTTACCAAGTGGCTCTACCTCCGGTTATGGAGCAAATGCACAATGTGTTTCATATTTCTATACTTCGGGAATATTTACGGGATCCACATCATATCACGCACTTCTAAAGGATGACTATACAAATAACGAATGGCCAATCCGAATTGTAAACCGTAGGATCAAGAGATTAAAAAACAAGGAGATTCTATTAGTGAAGGTTGATTGGCAAAATCATGGAGGAACCCATGCAACATGGGAAACAGAAGAAGATATGATGATGAGATATCTGGATTTATTTCCACTAGACCCAATGTTCTTCCAAAATGAAGGTAATTTGAGTTTAGAGAACCAAACTCTTTAAGGAGGGAAGACTGTAATAACCTCGACCTGTAATTAACTGTTAAACCATGATTAAGAATGCTTAACAAATAATTAAGAGAGAATCCTACATTAATTACATGTGCATGGTATTATATATGCTTATATCTGTTCGTCGTGGAAATATCTGTCAGTATTCATGTTTCATTATACGAATTGAAGGCCTTGTCGGCATCCGATCACGAAATCGACTCGGTATATGTGTTATTTAGAATTTTGAGAATTTTATGGTAAATTTAATTAGAATAAAATAATGCCCATTTGATTAGTGGTAAGTCTAGTTTAATTAAGCCCACTAACCAAGCCTATATAAGGCTTATACACACATTAGACCCTCTTGGTTCATCATCTTTTTGAGGAGAAAAACATGGAAGAAAGAGAGAGAGAGAGAGAAAGAGAGAGAGAGAGAGAAGGAAACAATTGTGATCAAAGCTAAAGAAGGGAGATTAGCCAAGAATTTTGGAGGAACTAGCTTGGAGACTTTGAGAATTGGTTATTTAGAGCCCAATTGAACACTTAAGGTAAGAATCCAAACCTTTAGGTTTGTACTTGAGTTGATTAATGCATGAATTTAAGAGAATTGAGCTAACAGATGCAAGAAATAAGCTAAAAAACTAGAATTGAGACCATATCTAGCATGTATGTACATATCATGGTATTTTGAAGTTGTTTATCCAAAAATTTTCACATGTATGACCTTACCTTGGCTATGTTTTGAGAATTCAATATGTTTTTGTACCAAACATCTCAATTGATCATGTTTTGGAAAGTTAAAGCTCATATCATTACATGCAAGTCATGTTCTTTAAGTTTCAAGTTGAATTTTGGACAATTGACTTACTCTTGGGTCTTGTTTTTTGCGAAATGATCCTTAATTCTTGTTGTTTTACAAGTTTATACATGTTTTCTCAAGTTTTGAGCCCAAAGATGTGTTTTAAAGATTTGAAATTGACTTTTGCATCTTGAACATCAATTTGGAAATTCCAGAATTCTGCAACATCGCTCAAGTGACAGAACCTGCGCTCGAGCCACCACTCTTTGTTTTGCACTTTCGCTCGAGTGACCAAAAGTTGGCCCGTACGTAAAATTCATGCTCCTAGTACGTTTGTAGACATAAGCCTCTGCACGAGCGAGGGAACCTGCGGTCGAGCGACCGCGCCTATTTTTGAACCTTGGCTCGAGCAACAAGAAGTTGTGCTCAAGCATAAAACAAAAGCTCCTAGAAATTTTACAGAATTTTGTAGTCCGCTCGAGCGACCAAAGTTGCGCTCGAGTGAAGATCCTATTTTTAGAAATTTGACTAAGTGTTACAACATATATTTTGGCATCCTCATTGCATCTTAGCATTCACAAGCCTTAATTACGACATAATAATGAGGATAAGGAGTAGAAACACACAGAGATAGAAAAGAAACAAGTTAAGTGTTTTCAAAATGTGCGTTTCATTGTATATCTGCTATGTGCTTGTGTAGGTCACGTGCCTTAGCTGCTTGGTTGTTTGATTCGTCTAATCTGCTATCGGAACCAACAGTGAGTAATAACTCTGTAAATCTATGTTTGACTTTAATTATTTTCTGATGATATGAAATGATCAGTTTTCTGAAATGCTAAGCTTTGTATAAATGAATGATTGTCTAAGTTTCTGAAATGTATTCGTGGCATCCTTAGCGTCATATGATGTGTGTCCTTTTATGGGTCATCGGAATACCTTTATGGCCGTCCTTTTATGGGTCATCAGAAACGTCTCTGTGCACATGAGTCATCGAAATGCCTTTATGGTCGTCCCTTTATGGGTCATCGGATTTGTTAATGCTAATGGATGTACCACGTATGATCATATGGAATATGGGAACTTTGAATACGAATATGAATATGAATATGAATTTGTTTCTGATCTGAATTCTGATTTCTGAATTTGTTATGGACATTATTCATTAAAACCTTTACTCTATTATTATTCACTGAACTGCAGCTCATCGTATTATTTATGTATGTAGGTGATCATGCGCGTGATCAGGCCTAAACTGTTGCTTGGATTCTTTTATGTTGGCGAGCCATAATGCCTCCTGACGAAGTTCCCGTTTTCGTGTGATCATGTTCTGTTATCAAGTTTTGAGCTCTTTTTGTTTTCTTCTGTTCAACTGAACAAGTTTTTGTAAGATGTATTTATGTGGGTTTTGTTGATGTAAGACTAATGTAAATATGACGTCATTGATATGTATATAAAGTTTAAAATTTTTCTGTCCCATGTATGTCTACATAGCTCTATGGACATTGTATGTTTGTACTTGCTTCAGCTAGCCCTTGTATTTTATTTAATTTGTTCAGAAGCCTTTGGTAATCCTAAGATTATTGGCCTGTTACAGCACTAAACCTATAATGGCGAGTTTGGGTTGTGATACTAGGACTCACATTTAACAAGCAATGTCATATCAAAAAGTAAAATAGGTTAAACAAGAACATGTTTCTCTTCAGAGTTGTTTTCCAATTACTCTAGTGTAGTCCAGTTAGAGAGCTTTGTAAGCACCCAAAGAGTGGCTCCCTGGCAAAAAAATGAAGCAAGAAAATTTATAAGTTTAATAAAAAAAAAATTAACTCGGCATTTCATCATCTAGAATAAGTAATCGAACAGGTCGTGACTAGTGGCACAACCAGAATTTTGATGAATGAGTTTAGAGTTGCTTCAAATTTAGTAGTCTGATTAGAAACGACGCAAATAAAATTCACTGTTATACTACGATTTAAGTAAGATTCTAGACAAATTTTGATGTTTAGTCTTCTAAATTTGCATATTTTCCATTTATGTAAACTTTTTTTTTTCTAGTATAATAACTTTATTTAGGAATTTTTGCCTTTGTGTGCCATTTGTTTTGACACGTTTCTAAGACTTGTATGTAAATATGGGCTGAACTCAAATTTGTTATTTTTATAATTGGCCTAGTTAGCTATTTTCTATTTGAATTAAAATTATTATTCTTACAAATAAGATTGTAAAAGCATTCTTGATCAATAATATCTTTGGATTGTATTATTTTGCCCCACTTATAGTTTTTCTTATTTAAGGGGTTGTTCGGCAATAGTTTTTTTTGGGCTAAAAAAGCACAAAAGACAAAACAAACTAAATAAATCAATAAGACAAAATATCACATTCAAACATAATCATTTCACTTTTTTTTTTCATAACAGTCAAAAAAGTCAAACCAAACAACATTTTAGCCCCAAACAAAAAAAGTTAAAAAGTTAAAAAACCAACTAAAAAAATCAATTGTCAAACGGCAACTTAGAAATCTGCGTTATAGTTTTTTATTTAGCTTTTGTTAACAGTTTGTAAGCAAAAATTGTTTAAATAAATTAATAATAATAATTATTATTATTGAAAAATGTGGTGAAATGTATTTTAATTTCTGCTTTTTAATTATCAGTTTGTAATGTGTGAGAAAGTGACTTGGGCTGTAATCCACGTGGTCATTGAGAAGACACTTAGGTATCAAGGTGTGATTTCAAATTTGAATTTATAGAGAGACGTTAACCTGTGTGTTATAATCTAACTATTAATATATTAAGGATATCTTCATAAAAAATATAAAACAAAACAAAACAAAACAAAAAAGTGTGAGAGAGTCACCTAAGCGTATAGTTTGAATTTAAACCCTAGAAGGATGGCAATGGGCATGCCAATCAAATAGAATGCTGCCAAATTAACGTACACTGCTGTCTGCTGCCATCCACATCCTCTTGCCACCCCTGCAACAAAAAATATGAAAAATTACTTTCTTATTGTGAGGCCTCTCTCCAATCCATCAAAAATTATATGGTTATAATTGTTCTGATTAATTGTCTTTTTTTTTCATTGATTATCAAGATACCAAGATCGACAAAATGAACGATTTAAATTATCTTAAGGGAACTATGATAGGCCCTAAGAGTTCAACTTAATAATACAATCCATATAGAAAAGTCCGATCTATTCTTAAAATAGTACAAATATTAGGTGCACATGATATCACTGATCAATAAAACATCTAACCAAGCGATTGACACCCGATCTCATTTAAAGTTATTTATTGATGATGTTAACACCGCTAAGCCCAGTATTATGTCCTCAAAACACAAAAATAAAGAAAGTAAAGTAAGAAGATTCAAACCTGATAAGACACCTTGGAAGGAATCAAACATGATTGAAACCACAAGAAATGGGGTCAACGAAGCAAATTCCTTTGTAATTGTTGATCCATCACTGAAGAAGCCAGCCCAGATATTGTGACTAAAGGCTAGAGCCAATACAACAATGAGAGCAAGCAAGATAGAGAGCTTGAGAGTCACACCCATGGCTTTCTTGGCTCGATCTGGATTGCCTGCTCCTAACTCGTTCGACACCCTTGTGCTGTTACAGAAAGTTTTGGTTTATTCAAACACCCTCAAACAAAAATGAACAGGGGAATTGCCTTGTTTTGTTGTGCTTTCATACTATTATTATTATCATTTATTTTTTAATGTTTTTGGAGATAAAAATAGTAAAAAGTTTTGGAACAAACAACTTCTGGTGTTTCTAAACAATGGGTTGTTTTCAGATTTTTTATTTTTTAATTTTGGAAACTAGTTTGCCAAACAAATTTCCATATAGCAAAACAAAAATACATTTACTTATTTTTTTTTCTAGTTAGGCATCCACATAGAGATGCTGTTGGGGGCCAAAATCTCAGAGCCTATGGCCTTGTGTAGTGAAGTTTTTTTTAAGTTAAAAGTTTATAATTAGAAAGTAAAAATTAAAAGTACTTATTTCTCAGTTTTCAAATAATCAATTTTTTTTTTAGTTTATTTAAGTTATTTCTATCTAATAAATTATAAGCAGAAGTTACATCAAATAGTCTAGCACAGACTCTTAAATTAAAATAAACTATAACCATCTCCTAAAAGTTGTACCAAACAATACCTATATCTATGATCCAAATCATTATATTGGAGGGTATACTGAGCAAAGTATTTATACAAAGATTCAAATTGAACAGACATCATCAGTAGTTACATGGTAGAATCATGCTTTTAAAAAATAGTCTATTATCAAATTCATTCTTACAATATATTTTTCAAAACGAATGTGATCTAATCATTTTGGATTGTTTTGACTCAAATCATAATTCCACAACACACAAACTCAAAATACAACTCATACTCTCAAATCACATTTACAAAACACAACCAAACGCTACCTAAAAGTTTATAATTAGAAAGTAAAAGTTAAAAGTACTTATTTCTCAGTTTTCAAATAATCAATTTTTTTTAGTTTATTTAAGCTATTTCTACCTAATAAATTATAAGCAGAAGTTACATCAAATAGTCTAGCACAGACTCTTAAATTAAAATAAACTATAACCATCTCCTAAAAGTTGTACCAAACAATACCTATATCTATGATCCAAATCATTATATTGGAGGGTATACTGAGCAAAGTATTTATACAAAGATTCAAATTGAACAGACATCATCAGTAGTTACATGGTAGAATCATGCTTTTAAAAAATAGTCTATTATCAAATTCATTCTTACAATATATTTTTCAAAACGAATGTGATCTAATCATTTTGGATTGTTTTGAAAAGTTGATTTCTTGGCTTTTAAAAAGAAAATGTACAAGAAAAATAGAAAGGTGATGTAACCAAAAATATGTTAAAAGCCAAACTACGTTCCCAAATGGGCCCGTCAAATTAATTTTATTTTTTCATGAATAATTTGCTCAGTAAACTCTATAAGATGAACTATTCAAATTGCAAAAAATAAAAAGAAAAAATAACCAACAAACCTAACAGCAACGCTGAGACCATAAGTAATCATGAAGGCGATAGCTTCTGTATTGACACCGAGAATATACCCCAAAAAAATAAAATAAAACAACAAAAACAAAAACCCTTAACAGAGTCAAGTCAAGCAGCATAAAAAACACTGTTCCAGAAATTGTTGGAAATCAAAATCAGAAAGAAAGAAAAAAAAAACATTACCACATTGCAATCAATGAAGTTATTTCTGCGTTTGGCATCAACCCAACTAACAGTACCAGTAGCTCAAATGCCCAATCCTCCAAATTGAAAATTAAAAAAAAATGTAAAAATTCACTATTAAGTGGTGAAATGTGAAGATTCATTCTTGAATTCCACCCTAATAACCCCTATAGTAACCAATTGAGAGTATTGTTAGATCACCAATTGCTTCAAAAACTTGAACTGTTAAGAAATCAGTCTAATAATATATATCAAATTAACACTCCCTCTCACTGGAAAAGATATTGAATAGATCCCAAAATGATAGAGATAACAGGCGAGAAAGACTTGTATTCAAGATCTCCTGGAATTAGTGTTCTAATAAGATGTTAAAAAGTTAGAAAAACTATTGAACTAGTATTTGACCAAGCTTGGGTGGTTTAAAGAGATGATATGTAACGACTTTCTAACACTCCTCTTCACATACTGCCCAGTTGCACATGAAGTTGTGATGAATGAGAGGATGTAAATAGACCAAGGACAAAATTTACACTGCAGGAAATTTAGCTTTTAGCGGCGTTTAAAAAACGCCGCGATAAGTGCCAAAAACGCCACTAATTCTTTTTGTGACGTTTTGCACCAAACGCCGAGGACGCGGCCGTCGCTATAGCATTGTGGCGCTTTAAAAACGTCGTTAATTTGTTATAGGCGACTCTTTTTTCCTGTAGTGTTAGCCTAAAAAATCACCCTAAACCCAACTCTAATTAGATAACCATTTGTCTTAAAAACAAGTTTTTAACAATGTATATGGTTGGGCTCTAGGGTATATTTTGTAGTTAGGAAACAGGTTTGGGAATATATGCAATTGGGTAAGATTACTACTTGTAGGATGAAATTTTTTGTAAATATATAAATTGATCACAGAATCAAACACAATAGTTTTTTAAACTTAGTGATTGGTTTTACGTGCAAGTGGAATAATTGTCACTATAACAAAATACAGATTTGGCGACTAACTTTTTAGTCCCTAAAGGTCCAATTTTGGTCGCCAAAACCTTTTGCCGACTAATATTTTGGTCGCCACCTTTGTCGTTGAAAGATAGTCGGGGAAAGTAATTGGCGACTAAAAAAATTTTAGTCGCTAAAAGCACACAATTGGTGACTAATAATTTAGTCGCCAAAAGTGTTTCAACTAAATTTAACATGACATTTTCAGCGACTAATATTTTTGGTCGTCAAAACCTAAACTGTTTAGCTACTAAAACTTTAGTCACCTAAGGTCTAACATTTTCTGTTTGGCTACTAATATTTTAGTTGCCTAAAGCACTTTTGAGCGACTAATATTTTTGTTGCCAAAGCTTAAATTGCTTAGCTACTAACACTTTCGTCGCCTAAGGTCCAATAATTTCTGTTTTGGCTTCTAATAGTTTGGTCGCCAAAAGTGTTTTTCCTTTTTTTTTTGGCTACTAAATTATTAGTCGCCTAAAGTCTTATTTGTTGTGGCTACTAAATATTTAGTCGCCAAAAGATTTGTTTTCATTTAATTCTTTTTTTTAGCTACTAACTATTTAGTTGGCAAAAATATTGACTTTATTTTTGGCTGCCAATTTTTTAGTCACCAAAACATCATTTTATTTATTTTTATTTTTAATTTGTCCACACCCACAACTTGTATATATTCCATGCAACCTGTATGATATATACAAACTGGTTTATACATATATTATCACCCATTCAACAATCTACATCCATTTCACTTCCAACCATCTAAAAATTAATACCTTCAAATGTCAATAATTCCATACAAATCAAATACATTAATTCCAATTTAAAATAATAATTCCGTACATAACATAAACGATCAAAGGGAAGTTTCATCCTCTGTATACAAAAATATATTTACTACTATGCCAAATGACCATTTGGCATGGTGCAAAATACCATGGTAATATGTATCACGACAAAAGGTAATCAATAGATCATGACATCAATTATCTATTCGAAGGAAAAAATATTATGTACCCCGCCAAAAGTATGATGTACAATTAATACAAACCTACACAAAAAGCAGTGGATGACAAAAATGCAGAAGTTTACAAAAGTGTAAATTGTCATCTGTCCACAAAAATGGAATATCCACAACTCCATGCCAAAAGCCATCTACAAAAAAAAAAAAAAAAAAAAAAAAAAAATACACCAATTAGTTCCATATATAGCATTTGAGCATAATGTCACACCCCATGTAACTGTAATATAACTTTATCCTAACATTCGTAATTTGATATTGGTTTAACAATTTTCTGCCCCATGATGAAACAATGACACCAATTTAAATAAAAATGTTGAAGATTTATTGGATGTCAAACTTACTCTTTTTCAAATAAATTTAAGGCATTTTCGGCTCTAACTCCCAACTTACACGTGCTAACTACATTTCGTCTGTTTTCATAGGTCCTATTTGTCATGGGGAAGCTGGTTGTGACATCTGTATGGTTGCTTTGGGGGCTGTTTCACATTTTTGCCGCTTTAACGCCCATTTCCGGTTAAGTTTATGGTGTTTTTGGCTCTAACTCCCAACCTACACATGCTAATTACATCTCATCTATTGTCACAGATCCTATTTGTCGTGGGGAAGCTGGTTGTCATATCCGTACAGTGGTTCGGGGGCCGATTCACATTTTCGCCCCCTTAATGCCATTTTTCAGTTAAGGTTAAGGAGTTTTCGGTTGTAACTCCCAACCTACACGTGCTAATTACATTCCGTCTGTTGTCAGAGGTCCTACTTGCCATGAGGAAGCAGGTTGTGACATCTGTACACTTGTTCAGGGGCTGTTTTGCATTTTCGCCCCTTAATGCCTTTTTTCGATTAAGTTTAAGGCGTTTTCAACTCTAACTCCCAACCTACACGTGCTAATTACATCCCATCTATTGTCACAGGTCCTAATTGCCATGGTGAAGCTGGTTGTCACATTCATACGGTGGTTCGGGGGCTGATTCACATTGTCGCCCCCTTAACGCCCTTTTTCGGTTAAGTTTAAGGCGTTTTTGGCTCTAACTCCCAACCTACACATACTAATTACATCTTATCTGTTGTCACAGGTCCTACTTTCCATGGAGAAGCTGGTTGTGACATCTGTACAATGGTTCAGGGGCCGATTCGCTTTTTCGCCCCCTAAACGCCCTTTTTCGGTTAAGTTTAAGGCAATTTCGGCTCTAACTCCTAACCTACATGTGCTAATTACATCCCGTCTATTTTCACAGGTCCTATTTTTCATGGGGAAGCTGGTTGTCACATTTGTATGGTGGTTCAGGGGCCGATTCATATTTTCTCCCCTTAACGCCCTTTTTCAGTTAAGTTTAAGGCGTTTTCGGCTTTAACTCCCAACCTACATGTGCTAATTACATTCCATCCGTTGTCAGAAGTCCTACTTGCCATGAGGAAGCAGGTTATGACATCTGTATGGTGGTTCGGGGGCTATTTTGCATTTTCGCCCCCTCAACGCCTTTTTTTCGGTTAAGTTTTAGGCATTTTTAGCTCTAACTCCCAACATACACGTGCTAATTACATTCCGTCTATTGTCACAGGCCCTACTTTCCATGAGGAAGCTAGTTGTGACATCCGTATGGTGGTTTGGGGGCTATTTTTCATTTTTTCCCCCTTAACGCCCTTTTTTAGTTAAGTTTAAGGCGTTTTCAGCTCTAGCTCCCAACCTACACGTGCTAATTACATCATGTCTGTTGTCACAGGTCCTGCTTTCCATGGGGAAGTTGGTTGTGACATCTTTACAATGGTTTAGGGGCCGATTCGCATTTTCGCCCCCCTAACGCCCTTTTTCGGTTAAGTTTAAGGCAGTTTCGGCTATAACTCCCAACGTACACTTGCTAATTACATCTCGTTTGTTTTCACAGGTCTTGTTTTTCATAGGGAAGCTTGTTGTCACATCCGTCTGGTGGTTCGGAGGCCGATTCACATTTTTGCCCCTTTAACGCCTTTTTTCGGTTAAGTTTAAGGCGTTTTCGGCTCTAACTCCCAACCTACACATGCTAATTACATTCCGTCTTTTGTCACAGGTCCTACTTGCCATGAGGAAGTTGGTTGTGACATCCGCACAATTGTTCGAAGGCTGTTTTGCATTTTCGCCCCCTTAATGCCTTTTTTCGATTAAGGTTAAGGCGTTTTCAACTCTAACTCCCAACCTACACGTGCTAATTACTTCCCATCTATTGTCACAGGTCCTACTTGTCATGGTGAAGCTAGTTTTCACATTTGTACGGTGGTTAGGGAGCCGATTCACATTTTTGCCCCCTTAACGCCCCTTTTCGGTTAAGTTTAAGGCGTTTTCGGCTCTAACTCCCAACCCACACGTGCTAATTACATCCCATCTATTGTCACAGGTCCTACTTGCCATGGGGAAGCTGGTTGTGACATCCGTACAGTGGTTCGAGGGCCGATTCGCATTTTCACCCCCTTAATGCTCTTTTTTGGTTAAGTTTAAGGCAGTTTTGACTCTAACTCCCAACCTACACGTGCTAATTAAATCCCGTCTGTTGTCACAAGTTCTATTTGTCATGGGAAAGTTGGTTGTCACATCCGTATGGTGGTTCAGGGCCGATTCACATTTTCGCCCCCTTAACACCTTTTTTGGGTTAGGTTTAAGCTGTTTTCGGCTCTAACTCCCAACCTACACATGCTAATTACATTATGTCTGTTGTCACAGGTCCTACTTGCCATGAGGAAGCTGGTTGTGACATCCATACGGTGGTTCGGGGGCTGCTTTGCATTTTCGCCCCGTAACGCCCTTTTTCGGTTAAGTTTAAGGCGTTTTCGGCTCTAACTCCTAACGTACACGTGCTAATTTCATGACATAATTTTAGATGCTGTAGAAGGTTATTTTTAAAATATATTATATATACTGGAATATAACCTTGCCCAACGATATGTAGACAGTAGCTTATAAAATGTAACCTGTGAACAAACCAAGCAGAAGCAGCAACTATAAAGTAAGCAAAAAAATCTAATATCCATACACCAAACAACTTGTATACTAACTTCCATCCTCAACTTCTATCATATCAAGTTGATAACAACTTCAAACATACAAACCAAGAAAAATATCCAAATCATAAGATTCACTAATCTCTAAAATACGACTTTAAACATCCAAAAAGCATAACTACAAATCGTAAATCACCAAGTTTGTCCCCTCCCAATGCAACAACTTGCATTTGACATTACTTTGATCCTAGAAAAATAAGGAGTATATAAGCATACTACTAAGTTAATGGGTGAACTTCGAAGTTTAGGAAGCAAACTAACAAAAGACAAAAGATAGAGGAGACATCATAATTTAAATAGCCAAAATAAAAAAAAAATCTGATTTTCCCTGTTTGGGTCTAATTTAGTCAAACCATCCTCTTAATAAATAAAGTTAATGGGTGAACTTAACCATGCTTGCAAAACAAAGTAGCTCAAATTAGATAACCCAAATCTAGAGTTTTTTATAACACATGCCTACAAGTTAATCACACAATTATAAGCTCGAAGGTCGGAATATGAGAAATAACATTAAGAAAGGGTTCGGCATTGTCGTTACCGGATTTGAACACTCTGCCATTCTTTCTCTCCAATAATCTTTATGTGGTCAAAACCATATAGAAGGTTTAAAAATAAAAACAAAATAATATTAAAATGATGCATTTTTATTTTAAGCTACACATTTCAAAATTGTGTCATTTTGCTTCAACTTTAAACATGGATGGTTGGATTAGAAAAACAAGATCTGCAGAAGATCATGTTCCATCGATACCACCTCAATACACCTGACCTTAAGCCATTTGAATTTTGAAGTAGCATGGAAACACCATGGTATGCACTTTTAACTAGCAGCCTCACTACACACAAATAAACCAACAATAAGAACTTGTAAAGAATCATTAAGTAAAAAAATAAAATCCAAAATGAAACTATAGAAAGTTATAAACAATTAAAATTAGAGAAAAAAAAGACAAGATAATAACAGGAAATTCCACATCATGAATTTATGATGAAAACAAATTTGAGTTTCTCACTCAAATCACCATCTCTAATGTATATAAATATATACCAACATCAAGAGTTGGTAAAAGAATCATTATTCCAATTAGTTAGTTACATGAATTATGCAGAAGATTGTTTTTATGATGAGTAAATAGCAATTTTGGCTTTCCACAGCCACCGACTACTCTCGACACTCTTAGGAATTTTGTTTGAAGGGGTCATTCAATTTCCCCCCTCCCCAAGTTAGAATTATATCAAACTAACCTCAAATAGATGAAATTATTCATAAAATAAAAACTATTTTAGTTCAATGGGGTCACAATACACCATGCGTGGTCCCTGAAATTATTTCAGCTCAATGGGATCACGGTAGGGTAGTTAGTCATCTATCATGCATCGAATTTAATTTTGAACTTTCACTTGAATGATTGACAAATCAAGGCGATTATCTTTGCTTATTCACAGTGAAAATGTAGATATTCCACTATCCATTGTCTTCAAAAACAAAAATCCAACTGACAAAACCTTATTTAATTATCTTTCTATTCTGAAGTTTAGATGGTAAGAGCAACAAATTCTTTTCCAAAAGATTTAATTTTTAACCAAAGAGGAACAAATCCTACCAGTAAAAAATCTCAATCAAATTCTTTCATACAACTTCGAACTTTAAGGTTTCAAATTCTCGTGGGAATTGCTAAGAAAGCAGAGGAATATGAAACCAAATAAATTTTACGCAAAAGAATCTTCATTAATCTTCAACGAGTGAAAAAACTAATTTCTCCCATGTAATACTAAAGTTTTCAATCACTTTTTTCAGCAACCAACATACCCAAGGAGGCCACATTTAAATACCCAAACATTACCCCCCCAACCCCCCTAAAAAAACCCCTCCCCCCCAAAAAAAAAAAATACTTAAATCCAAGTACTTAAATCCATACATCTCCTCATCAACCAAGTAATGCGTCCACATTTCTGCATATCACATAAAATCAAAACATAGAAGGAAAAAAAATGAACTAATAAAGATTAACCACGCAGGTAGGGGTGGAATAAGTCTAGGTTGCAAGGTATGTACATAAAAAAAAATTGAGTTACTTTGGTACATGAAAAGAAGTATGTCATGAAGAGAAAAATAAATAAATCTAACAAGCATTTAAAAAAAAAAAAAGTTTTGAACTATTAATTAGATCCCAAATTAGACCAGTTTTAAAAATTTTATTGATTGATATAAACAAGTAAATAAAAGGCAAAAAATAAAAGGTAGGGAGCAACACTTAGAATTCTTATAATGAATGCCAAAACTCATTAGCAGAAATTGTGGGCAACACAAGGAAAAACAAATGCATAAATGTGATGTCATAAAATACAGAAACTTTAAAATAAGCAATGCATAAGTAGTTGAATTGACCACAAATGGCAATAACATAAGATAAAACAGACAAAGAACTTAAGAGCAGTAGTTGGATTGACCATATATGTCAATAACAAAAAATTAAACAGAAAAAAATCCAACACTATCTTTTAAACACTATTAGCTCCATTACCCCTTGAAGAAAACAACTCAAAAAAATAAAAAACTGAAAACAAAATTGTTGAATTGAAGATCGATATTGCTAAACTAAGTAAAGAACAAGACAAACAATATGTTTGGGTAATCTAACAAATAACATGCAGATCGAATAAAAAAGGTTGATTGGGAAAGAGAAATTGAACTGTGACCTTTTCCAGGGATTGCGTTGGGATTTGGTGAAGACAGAGCACTAGAGAGGTGTATGAGCTTCAAACAAAGCAAGCAATCACAGAAGTGGAAACCCTAGAAATCAAAATCAAAATCAAAGAGATGAGAGAGAAGAAACTGAATTAATTGAATACATTCAATAAAGTGTTGCTCTGTTTTTTCATGCATATCTGAATAAGTTAATCGAATAAGGGATGTAATTCAAGGCTTTCATATTCCCAAACTCCAAATAGATATGCAAACACCAAATTAATCAAATAGAGATTGAAAAAAATAGATATGCAAGCAACAATATATATCGAATTAATCGAATGAAGAAACTGATTCAAAATCAAATCAAAATCAAAGAGAGATGAGATATGAAAACCCTGGAAATCAAAATCAAAACCCTACAAATCAAATCAAAATCAATTCAACAAGGGAAACTTAATTGGTAAATTACGGAAACAAATCAACTGATCTCCTATACCTTTATTAACTTATGTAGATTAGACTTCAAACCAAATCAAGGACCCAGAAACCTTTATTAAATCCAATTGACACAGGTCAATGAACATATAATCTAGTATGATAGCATCACATTATTTCTTGCCCTCACATGATAAGTATTTATAGGCATGTTTATGTAGATTAAACTCAAAACCAAATAGAGAACCCAGATACCTTCATTAAATCCCATTGACATAGGTCAATGAACATATAATCTAGTATATGACAGCAATACATTATTTCTTGCCCTTATATGATAAATTTACAACACTCAAATGTTAGGTGAAAAAGATGATTCATCCGGCCCCAAAACGGAAAATTCTTGCTTAATCCAACTTGAATTTGGGATTTCTGTGTAAAAATCAACACAAACCATATACCAAGTGTGGGAAATCAACACAACATTAACTCAAGTTCAACACAAAATTAAACAAAAAAAAAATCATATAAAACCCTAGGGCAAGTGTGAGAAATGGGGAAATAGAGGAAAAGAGAGAGAGAGAGAGATGCACAGAGAGGGAGAGAGAGCTCCATCGACAGATAGAGATAGAGACTGAAAGTGACAGAGAGAGAGAGAGACCGAGAGTGACAGAGCGAGAGAAACATACCTGTGATTAAGTGGCGCTGGTGCTTTGCAAGTGGCGGTGGCGATGTGCGATAGTCTCTCTCACCAATGGCCAACGACGGTGGTGAGCAGGGTGAGGCTTGGTAGTGTCGAAAGAGAGCAAAATTTGTTTGAGACAGTGTATATCGTGTGAGTGTGTGTGAGAGACCGGCGCCAAATTATATTGGTTTCCCTCTAAAAAACAAAATTTCAACTTTTAGAGACTATTTCACATTTTAGTCGCCAAATAGGGCTGAATAACGACAACCAGCTTTGCAGCCAAAAGATTACATATTAGCGACTAATATATTTGTAGCCAAAAGTATCTTTTGGCGACTAAACTATATTTTTGTTGGCAAATTAGCTTGTTTTGCGACTAAACTTAGAATTAGTAGCGTAAAATATTAACTTTTGGTGACTAATTTTTTTTAGTCGCCTATAACTATATATTTCGCGACTAAATTTTTTTTTTAGTCACCAAAAAACAATATATGTCGACTAAATTGACATGGTAGCCAAAATTTGAACCTTAAAAAAAATTAGTCGCCAAAAGGACTATTTTTGGTGACTAAATTTGTTTTGGTCGCCAAATGTGTAAATTCTTGTAGTGTGTTCTAGCGTAGATGTCTTAACTTTAAACTTTGAGAGACACTTTGCAAACTCTAAAACCTTCATTTTCATATCAGATAGAGTCTATGCTTCAATTCGAGAATCATTTTGTGAGGTGTCTTCTAGTTTTATTATATAATCAAATTTACTATAAGGAACCTCTTACGAAAGATAGAGAGTCAAGGCTGTTATGACAATTTTTGCATAACAATTCAGAACATTAAGTATAAAAGAAGATGGAACACAAAAAAAAGGCACTCACCACAACATTGCTGCAGAGGGAAGAGCCAATTTCAAGTTCACAAAAACATGACGAAATGTCTCGATTGAAAATCCATGCCAAGTAGGCTCAAATCTCTTTGCACAAAGCACGTAAACACCCAACATAAGGGCTACGATCCACAATGAGATCAACATTGACAATGTAGCTCCCTTGAATCCAAGAGGTGTCCAATGAACAAAAACATAGGCAATGCCAATGTGACCGATCAATGGGAGGACTAAGCAAACAACAAGTGGCATGACAACACTCTGCGTTTGAAGAAACCTCAAAATGTTGTGCAAAAGCCCAAATGTAACCAAACTCGGGATAAGAAATCTAATGTAGAGCATTGCAACGTGTGAAACGTGAGGATCATGGTGAAGTAAGATCAAAATGGGCTTGGAATAGAACCAGAAAATTGAGAAGAAGATTGAGAAGAACACAAAGATTATACATGATGCTTGGAGCTGTAAGCCAAGCATGCTGTACAGTTTTGCACCGTATCCTTGCCCGCATAATGTTTCTAATGCACCACTTAGGCCCATCTAAAAAAAATCCAAAACCAATCAGTTAATTGATCAACAAAGAAGTTTTAGAAGTTTAGAACAACGATGAAATATAATGAAGGTAAGACAATTAAGCTTATGATATGAGGTTTATTGAATGAAGTATGGATTTGCTACATTTTAATTATGGAATGCGTATTCAAAGTTTATATGTAGGATGGATATAATCAACCTTTTCACATCATTGTACAACTGTTGTTGTTGGCTTTTTTTTTTTGGAAGGAACAAACATAGTCTTTTGCTCTCTTCACATAATCATTTGCATTTGTACTCTCTTTATCTATTCTATTATATAAAACAAACGATTGACTTGGTGTGAATTGTCACCATTTTTGTCTATTCTCAAATTATTCCTTTGACCTAGTCTATATAACTCTCTTTATATATCCACAAGAGTGGTTACAAATCCCTGATCTTTTCAATTGCACACATAGTATGCTTACCCTCCTAGTATAATATTGTGCACTCAAATGAGGCTGATTAATAGAAGAAATTTTTTGAAACACACAAATCAGATAGTAACCCTCTATCACTCATGTGACATGGTTGTATCCAGTACTGTAATTAGTTTTCCTGCAAGTAAAAGAACTGTTAAAAGAATATAAGCGGGAGTAGGACTCTAATTATATAAATTATATTCACTAAATAAAAAAGCTATATAAATTATATAGTGAATTATTTCAAAAAAATTTTGACACAACTAAAATAAAATTGATTAACGCATTTTATTTTTGAGATAATTTTTAAAATATATATATACATGAAGATGCTTTCCATAGTATACCCATTATCCTCATCTTACACAGGCACTATGGTGTAATTAAAATGTAATTTATAAAAACAATCACTAGCCATCTCACATCACCACCTATATAACCAATTCGATCTGTTTTCTAAACAAAGTAAAAGCAATTCACATATCAGTTCTCAATCAGCGAAAATTCTACTAGCCAAAGCAAAGTAATCAAGGGTTGGGTTTCAATTAATCAATAATTATTTATTTAAAAGTACACATGGTAATTTTTTCCCATTTTTTAAGGGTTGGATTTCTTTCATATTCACATCCCAATATATAGTACTATGTACTTCCTATTATAATGGAATTATATTTAACTCTTTGATTATCTTGATTGGGAACATTCTTAGACGATATTTGAGCCTTGGTTGAGGTGTTACCATAGTGGTTAGGTGAAATTGAATCAAAAACTCCAAATTTGAATAGTTGATATTGAGTAGTTTTCACTCTTTTATCATTTTCTCTCTTTACACTTTGAATCTTGATGTGAGGCTAGAACCATTGTAAAGCTTACTTCCGAGGCTTCAATTTGGATACAAGAACAACCCTGAACAGAGTTCGGATGAGAGAGTTATGCTTGTTTGAAATTTTTGAATCTGTACTGTGAGCATAGTGCGCTCGAGCGCAACATTTAACGCTCGAGCATACTGCGCAAAATCATGTCTTTAAAAGTCACTTTTGAGTCAAATCTCTTTACTTTTTACTTCCCTTTCTCTCTCCTTTCGCCATTTTTGATTTCTCAAGCTTTTAGGCTTCATTTCATCTAGTTCTATATATCTTTGACCCCTAGTTCCATATACCAAAACATAGAGCACGATGAGGATTTCCATTTAATCTCAACGGATTTTCATTTCGCCGTCGGTGTTTTTTTCAACTTGTTTCCTTCTTGCTTCAAGAGGTAGGATCTATTTCTTAAACTTAATATAAGTTCAATAGTGTATTTGTGGTGTATTTTAAATATATAGATTCCATTGTTGTTGAATTGATTTTTGGAAATTTGTTTTTGTAACTGAGGGTTTGTCCAAATGAGATTGTTGAGGCGTGGTTTAGCTACAAAAAAGTTTTTTATTTATTTTTTCACTTACAAAAATGCATATGAGTTGTTAAAAAGTAAAAAAAAAAAAACCCTAATTTGGAGAAACCCTAAAATGTTGATCTTTTGGGAAATAATTGGATTATTAAATCAAAATGTAAAAGAGAAGTTTCCAAATGTTTTCTTGAAAAAGGTTGTGATTATGAAATTGGAGTTGATATATGTTGAAATAAGCTATTTCTTGCATTGAAATGGATTTTCAAAAAGGAAAGAGATTATGCCATAAAATGTAAATGTTAAGATTGTAAAGAGGAAATGGAATAAATGTTGAGAAATGTGAAATTAAAATGATGATTAATGATGGTGGTGGAGTTTGATATGTATCATCACTCCTATTTGAGATTTTGAAAAAGTGTATCTTTAACGGAATTTATTTGTCTGTTTAGAAATATCTGTTTTGAGCTTTTGGTGAAGGTTAGCTATGATTGTTGTAGAAATTGCATGCGAACTAGGCAAACTAGATTGTTTATAAATTATGCATATCATGAAGTATGTAATGGATTTTAAAATTTTAAACTTTATATTTTGGAAAGAGGTTTTTTTGAAATTCTCGCATTATGTTTTGGAACATTTGCATTGTTTTGGAAAAACAATATTTTGAACCATATGTATTGTGCTATTTGGAAAAGATAAATAAAAAGGTAAATCTGAGAAATGATTGTTGTTTCATCAAACAAGTTGGCCTGTGTGTCTAGGGTGAAAGTCTCAAAAATTGCGTGTATACATGGGTGCCGATCCCGCAACGAAATTTCTATAAAATGGAATTGGTAGTGCTTATATAGCCTACATTTACATGGGTCTCATTTGACGGTTTCCCACTGACAAAATTTCCATGAAAGGTTGTATTGATTTTGAAGATTTACCCATTTTATTTTTTATCATTTTGGTTTTGGAAAGAAATGATTTTCAAACGGCCTTAGCAATGTAATTGTTGTTGGTTAACGATATATTCGTATTGGAATTGGCAATGAAATTGCTAGCTGGAATTAAGATATCTGGATTGACATGTCTAAATGGATTTTATATCAAACTAATGTATTGAATTCAGAAAACGTTTTGAATAAATGAAAGATTTTGAAGACTAGGAAAAAAGAGTTTTTACTGAGAAAACAAGTGGATTTGAGAATGCATTTGGGCATATTATATATGTATGTATTGCATTCATGATCATTTGCACTGGTGGAGCATATTTAGTTTTTGAAATATTTCTTATTGGGCTTTATGCTCACCCTACGTGGCTGAAAATGTTTTTTCAGGTATGTTTATGTAGATGTGGACTGAGACAGTGAAATTGTGTTCGAAACCATGAAGGGTAATGCCTTTATTTGTAGGCCTTGGGCCATTTATATTACTGTTGGCCATGTGCCATTCTTGTAAGGGTTACACCCTTTGTGTATGATGTAAGTCTTTGGGCATTTTAATTTGATTATAACATCTTTATATGTTTTAGTTACAGAGCATCCATTCAACTTAGATATTGTATCTAAGAATGTATAAAATTGGAATAACACATGTACTGCATGCCTATATTATATACATCTGCATGAATGCTGTTAGTTATCATCTACTGTTGGGTGGTTTACTCACGTGGGCTGGACCTCATAAATTCGAAGCATGACAACTCAGTATCAAAACTAACCAGGTTTGAAAACCTTGGGCTCGCAGAAAGTGGTTAGCCATAATGGGTTTATTATGCTCGGTGAGGACATTTGTATGTTGTGTGCTAAATGATAACATACTTATCTGTTGCATTTTTTGTGGACATGGTGTTGAGACTCATGGATATTATTCAGTGTCTATTGACTAACGTAGAGGTCTTATTGGAAACGCGCTTGATCAGTGTTGCTTCTAATGAGAAATCTAAGCGAGTACTAGAATGAATGATTATCTTTGTAGACTTAACGCGATTACATGTTAAGTGTTATGTGGTAGATGGTATGTAAATTAATTGGAGCCTTAATTGGGTTGTTTGAGTAATTGTTATGTGATTGTGTTGTGTTAGTATCTTGGGGAAAGGTGCAAGTGTTATGTATCCTAAGTTGTGTGTTTCCCTCCTTATAGAAACATTTTGGATTGAGTAGTGGACTCGGAGTGGGCACCTCAGTGAGTGCTATACTGGTGATATGTTGTGTATTAGCATAAGTTGTGAGTTGGTGTTGGTTTGTCATTAGTGACAATTAGTATGTCTTTGAGGGTAGTGGTGTTTTGAGTCCTTTGTGCTTGGTGGTTGGATGGAGTTGTTATACTCATTTAAGTGACATCTAGTCCGTGGATTAGTATGTGTTAAAATTAGTTATAACCTTGAGTGGTCAGAGGCGTGGGGTGTGTTCCTCGATTGAATGAATTGTTTTAAGTCTTGTAACCCGTGGAAGGGGTGTTGGTAGTGTTAGATTTTTTAGAACACGAAGAGTTGAGATTGTCCTTGTAGATGTGGGTAGCATTGGTGTATAGTTCCGACTATGGTGTTGTTAACCTGGAGGTTAGTATTGTAGAGTGTGGTTGGTTGGGATGTGAGTTGTTGTTTGACTTCTATCGAGGTTGGTAGAGCCTATTGGGACATTTAGGCTTGAGGTTTCTGTTTGTAGATGAATTGTGGTTGGATGTCATTGTGACTTGTTGGGTTATTGTGATTGTGAAGTTTTATCAATCAATATATTCAGTTTGGTTGATGTTGGTTATTGGTTTATATTGGAGATATGATGATTTCGGTTTAGACCTGACCTATTTGATGTTTTGGGATTCGGGTTTTCTTGTCTTTAATGGTTGTTCATATCCTTGTTTATCTTATTCCTTGTTGATTTGAGTCGTTTGAGTATCGTGGTTGCATTTGGAACAAGTCGGGGTTTGTTTTTTAATAGAAATTTTGTCCAGATTTTGGTCTCAACACTCGAGCGGTACTTTCTAAGCTCGAGCAGTCTTTGATAATTCTCAGTACTTTGGTAGGTCTGCAAAGATACTAGGAGGGTGTATTTTTAGCTCAAGCGATGTCTTCTGCGCCCTAGCGGTGTTGTGCTTGAGCGGTCTTTCTTGCACTTGAGTGGTGGTCTTCTATCTGCAAAACTTCTGAGAGTTGGTATTCTTCGCTCTAGC